CAGCAAACGTGATTTGCACAGCAGGACTCCTGCCAAGCCTGATTTGGAACATGACCAGGAAAGCCCCAGACACTGACCATCCTTCCCCCAAGGTGACCCCCTCTCCCTGCCACTCTCACCAGCCCCAGGCCCTCATGAGTTCTCTGGCTCTTAAGGGCCTTGTCTTGGCCTTTTCCCTGGGGGTCATCTAAAAGGTCAGGGAGGACAGAGTCATCCTCCCCACCACCATGCTGCATTTTTGGTTTGTAGCAAGAACACCCTGAGGATGGTTTTTCTGAACTCCTTCCTCCCTAGGGTCTGCCCCACATCTCTCCCTTCTCTCTCCCTCTTTCTTGGGGAGAGACAGCTCATTTCCAAGTGCTCTTCAAGCTCTTTCTTCTGAGCGATGGTAAATTCTTCTTAGCGATGCTAAATGGCTTACTCAAATTTCCTAAGACCTTTGCTTTTTACGAAACCCACTCTTACACTGAAGCTCATCTGGAAAGGGCCGAGTCTAAGTTCTCCTCCAGGCACACCCTTCCATCCCACTCAGCAATCAGCAGGATGTGATTCACACATAATTGAACCCACATAAAAGTCCATAAACGTCCGAAGTTAAATAGCAGGAGATCACGAAAGTTTAAATGGCACAAAACTCCATCTAGAGATTCACGCAGGGCAAACTGCAGAGAAGTTGTCATCACGGCCAACTCCTACCTCAGTCAGCTATTATGAGGCTCAGTAAAGGTGAAGTCCATCCCCTACTTGGCAAAGCCTCCCTTAAACTTCGCCCTGACTTCACAGTTACTGGAATGACCAAAGAGTAAAGCAACATACTAACTGAAAATAACACTCTAATCCCCCACCATTGATTCCCTTCAAAAAAAAAGGTGAGATCCCCCTGAATGAGAGAACTTCCCTGCTCTGATGAGACTTCCCCAGCAAAAATCAGACATTTAACATAACTCCTAAACTTTACTAGAATTTTGTATTTTTAGTTTAGGCCTTTAATTGGATTTTCCCTTCCCAAATGCATTTCGTTCTTCCAGAATTCTTCTTTAGCACTTGGACACCATATGGGGCACCTGTGACTTCACCATCACGCATTCCCAGTAACCCACGTGTATCTCAACCTTCCCTGCTCCCAAGCTTTCCTCTCCTGGCCATCTCAAAGCCTCTGTCCTCACTAATCTTCCGTTCAGTTATTTTTCTCAGATCCAACATTGTGATTGTCTGTGAACCATTGCCATCTCACCCTGGCAGGGGAGCAACATCTTGGAATTCCTGAGTTTCATTCCTTTTCTCCCAATGTTGTTCCACTATCTCTTTTCCTTCAGACACACCAAAGACACACAAATGCCAGGTTGTACTTTCTCTATGGACTTCTTTGTGCAATAAAAGTTTTATCTTTATTCTTAAAGTTCAGGAGTTTTATCAAGACTATTGAGAATAGGACTATCAACACAAGAGGAATGGTAGTGCAGAGTGACATTTTTAGTTAACAAAGGAAGAAAGAGAAAATAAAAATAGTAACTTGACCAACCAGTAAAAATCTGGAAAAGGGAGAATGGCAAAGTCAACTAAACGTAAAGTAAACTGAGAGAGTTACAATCAAATCTATTAATTGTTAGATTCAAATGGGCAAAATGCAGTTATTAAAGCAACTGCCTGACTGGATTAAAAATCCCAGTTCCATGTTGCTTACAAAGGAAGAAAGCTTGAAGACAAAGGAGTACTAAAGATGTACTAGGGAAATGTAAACAAAAATAATCCAGAAGTGGTAATATTAATATCCAAAAAGTGGAATTTCAGATTAAAACATTCAACAAGACAAAGAAGGTTACTAACAGGTACAATTTACAAGATATTTTCACACTTAAGCCTTACTGCACCAAACAAGGCAACAAACAATATGTAATCAACACAATTCACCACTTAGACATTGATGGTTATATCAGTAAATGCCAGAAAGGCAGCTGATAAAGTTTGGTGCCTCTCCTACAAACACCCTCATGTAAAGAAGGAAATTATCTAAATCAATAAAGACGATTTACCACAAAACAATGGCTAACGCAATGCAAAATAATGAAATGATAATCAATTTCCACTAAAATAGCAGCAAGATAGGAATCTTTCCTATTGCCAGAATTATTCAACTGTTTTTACAGATTCTAATAAATTCAATAACCCTGATACTTGGCATGGAATTTAGAACAGAAGAAACCAAAATTTCTTTATCAGCAAATGACTGCCTGTGTTTTTTATTATGAAAATCAATATTTTGATGAGACGGCTGAGTAGTGAGTAGATAATCAGCTAGAGATAGAAATGGAAAAAACACACACACACACACACACACATTCACACACACACAAAAAAACCCTGTAAAATACTTAAGAAAAGATGAATGAGAAAGAAACAGAACAAATGTTTTTTAAACTACAAAATAGCTTATCTTTTTAAAGGAAGTGTTTGAAGTCACAACAACAAAACTCCGGGAATACAAGTTGTAACGCTCCTCTGTGGGGAACTAGACTCGATCCATAGGAGAATACACTGTAGTACACAAGTACCACGAAATACTATTTCATAGTTTAAAAAGTAATAGCATTTAAAACTGGAGTAATACCCATGACATATTGGTAAGTGGGCAGTGGGGATACACTGTTACTCTATTTTGTAGAAAAGGCAACCAAAAAATGATACATGTTTGTGGATGGATAGATAGATAGATAGATGATAGATAGATAGATATAGATAGATAGATAGATAGATAGATAGATAGATAGATAGATAGATAGATAGATAGATATGTAGTAGCTGGAGTACAAAGAACTAAAAAGAGCTATTGTGGATTACTCTCTACCCAGTGACTAGACCTCAGTTGGCACCTTTCTTCTCACTCATTTAGTACTTAGCACATATTTGATGGGTGCCTATTCCGTGCCTTAGGCGCTGATATTTATGGAGCGCCAAACACATGCAGACCCATTGGCAGGTGTTGAGGGTGCAGCATACAGTGGATGTGATTAATGCAAAGTCACACATGTCCCCACGGGGCTCATGACGTGAAGCTGACAATCAACAATTATTTAAGAGAAATGACTGCTATATTTGATGCACTATGAAGGAAAATGCACAAGAAATTTAAAAAAATAAAATAAAACACAAATCATGTTGGAGGTATCGTGGAAATAAGGTCCAGTGCTCTCCGAGGGTGATATCAGTCCCCTTAATGGGAGCCAGACTCAGCACCTGGGAAGTGCCTGGGCTGCCAGTAGACCCTCAGTCAATCTTTGAAGGATAAATGAATGAATGCTCACTGAAATGTCAACTCCTCAGAGAGTCCTTCCCTAACCCTCCATCTGAAGGAGCCTCTCCTGTTCTTCTCTATATTCTGCTGAGATTTAGATGAGGATGTGAATGCTACTTTTTGCATACTTCAAACTCTGTAGGGGAAAAATAAACCTAACAACTTGAGAATGAAACCCACAACCTTTCTGTATCGTGTCAGAACCTGTCTGGTGATTGACTCATTAGAAGAGAAGGGACTGCAGGATCTAGCTTCTTATCAGAACATTTAGAAACTGAAGCTTTAACGAGGATCACAAAGGCAACTTTCATTGCCAGGATCTATCATCAAAGAATGATTTTATCAGTCCTGAACGTTGGCTGCCTGACCGAATCCAGGGCAAGGTGCAGGCTTCAATTGAGTTTTCTGCAAGGTGTCCCAAACCCAGCATTCTGTGCTTATGGCATTTAACAGCTTGTTGTTTCTAATTGATTACTATCCACTGGAGCACACAGAGTAAAATGTCCAAGGAATGTTTTCTTGAAATCTCGGATACCAAGAAATCATCCAGAAGATGATGCCAAAGACAGACTCAGGCCTAGGAATCAAAAATTAACAAAAGAGGGCATTTTAAACCATCTCAGAATGCTTGCTCAGCATATATCTGGGGCTAGTTAATCGATCCAAAGTAATACATCTGAAAGAATATATGCATGTAAAAGTCCCACTCCAATACACACCTGGGATAGTGGACTTTGGTGAAGGCAGTTGATTCCACCAATGAAAGCCATATTGGGCATGATGGGCCTAGGGTAATCCTTCACAAAGTCACTTCTAAGCAGCCAGACAGATGCAGAGCTCAATAGGTTCTGGACAGTCACCTCTCTCTGCAGGAATTCCGAGGCAAGGGTTGCATATGGGGAATAAACCACGTCGCACAGAAAGTTCTGTGAAAAGGCAATGAGCATGTTCTTCACCCGCTGCAGGAAGGTCATGTGATCTGAATGAGCGGACAGAGGCCTGGGCACGTAGGAGAATGGGTTGGGGCACTGGGTAGCCTCAAATTCCAGGCTGCATGGCAATGCATTCAAGAAGAATACAGTGGGTAGAGACAGGTACTGGGCCACGATGGGGCCACAAGGAAGGAAAGGGTCTGTCAGCATGACGTCAAAGCTGCTTTCCGCCAGGGAGGCCATGAGCTCCTTGTTGTGCAGTAAGTGGGAACAGCCAGACAAAAGCATAGCAGAGTCCTTTTTTATTTTCTTGTATGTTTTGATCACACGCCGCAGGAAAGAATCATTCTCAAAAACATTATGGCCAAGACTAACAAAAGACTCTTTCACATCCTCCCTTTGGAATGGCACAGGGTACGTCTTCAAGGTGTAAAATGCTCCCTCTCTGATGTACAATGAGGCATCAGGTGCTAGGACAACTATTTCATGTCCCCTCTGCTGCAGCTGCTGGATGGCCCCAAGCATGCTCAGCCAGTGGCTGCCATCCACTGGGATCAACAGCATCTTCCCAGCATGGCACAGCACTGGGCCCAGCACACACAGCAGCAGGCCCAGGACAAGTGGATGTCTGCCCTGGGACTCCACAGCCATGGCACCTTTGCTCCTGCCAGAGCTTCGCCCTCTCCTACTTATATATATGGTAAAAACCAATCGATACACCAAGTTAATGTTTGATTGTGTCACATGACTATGAAAAGTCATCAGTCCACAAAGGTAGCAGGGAGTTCACTTTCAGAGATAAAGAAGGTGGAGCTTTATTAGGTTTCTTGATAGGCAACAACAGTTGAACTGGCTGGAATTTCATACTCAAATCACATTCTTGAGTGAACACAGCAAAGTACCTCCAGCACCTCTGGATCCATTAAATTAGTATTCCACGGACCAAGAAGTGTTACCAGAGAGGAATAAGAACGACTATGTAGTGACAAGTGAGGCTTCTTTTCCAGAAATTAAACAGAAAGCTTTTTAGAAAGCCTTTTAGAAAGAAAAGAACACAACTGTACCCCTACTTTCGCCATGGAAACCTAGGAGTGCTCTTTCCACAGCTCCCCCGGTACTGCCTGTTCACCTGTATCATGTATTTCATTCCCTCATCCAACAAATATTTATTGAGTCCAGCACAGTGTGGGGTCTTGAGGCTGCAGCGGAGCCCACCACATGAGTCTCCTGCCTCCTCAGAACTCACGTGCTATCAGGTGAGCCAGACTCACAATTTAAACAGATGAGCAGGGACTTAGAAATCGTGAACCATGCTAAGAAGGAAATGAACAGGTGGGTGGGTGGGCGGCGGTGGAGGGGCATGCTGGGGTAGAGAACGACCAGAAAGGGAAATCCGCTGGAGTGCATATGCACAAAAGTCTTCCCCAAGGACAGGTCTGTATTAGTGTGAACCTGAAAGAGCCAGTCCTATAAGAAAGGCTAAGTTGGCCTGGATTTAAAATACAGCCAACTGGTCCTTTGCTTACTACAGGTCACAGTTACTCTGAGCATCCTGAAAACCTGTACCTTTTCATAGTTGAGATTTTCAGCACTCACCTGAATCAACCAATTAGAGCTCACCCACCTCAGCCACTCAGGGCTCAGCTTCATCAACTAATCAGAATGCAGCTGCATTGACCAATAAGAACTAAGCAAGTTTCCATCCTTCAGTTGCATAAATGGACCTGATTAGGAACCTCAGAAAGAACTTTTTGCCATGAAACCTGCCTTCCTTGTGTTCTCTGGAACTCGCTTTCATTGTATACCAGAGGCTGTAACTCCCTGGTTTGCAAACTGTTCACTGGAACAAAGTCTCTTTCTTCCAAATTCCTTTTCAGAGAACTTTTGTTCACAACAGGAAACCAAATAAGCAAATTCAATTAAGTTAAATTGTACTCATTCCACTGGTCCAAGATCCAGGGGGAAATAAGGCATTTGGGGAAATTCTGATGACTGAGTGGAAGGCAAAAGGGAAAGATGAGCAAAAACAATAACTCAGATTTGTATTTTATTGACCATGGACTCTGGGGCAAGTATTGTGCAGCCAGAACTGGAAGTATTACACTCTTTTCTTTGGGGATATACTGCCGTACCATACAATCCGAACATAATTGCACAGATCCCAACATTTTAACCATACACAGCACAGGCCAGCCATACTTGGGGATGTTCTTAGAGGATCATAGAGAAACAGCTAACTAGAGTTTTGGTGTCCTGCGGGACATATTAACAGGTACTTAGGGTACCCTCTCATTCTGCTTCTTAGAGTAGGTACTTTGGCATGCACATGCACACTGAAGCTCTTCCCCACACCCAAGCACTCTTCATTTTTTAGGACCAAGATTCTGGGCAAGCAGAATAGACATAGCAATGCTTTCACTCTTTGTTCTGTCCTTATCAGAAATTCTGAAATTCACAGTTCAATTTAAACCTTAAGGGTGATAATTCTTCCGAAGTCCCAATGTCATGTGAGTGCATTTGTGGATTAAAGGGAGAAAAGAGGCTATAAACACATAAGTCACCACTGTAATGATTTTATGACTTTCCTGCATCACGCAGAGCTTCCAAGCTTTTTGAGGCTGCTGCTGCTGTGTACCTGGATGGTTTGGGGCCACAGATCTGCCCTTGACCAAGAAATACTTACTAATCTGAATAGTAGGCAATCCACATTCACCCTCATGAATTACAACAGAGAACCATTGCTAAGCAATCCAATTAATCTCTGCTCTGGAACCAAAGCAGAATCCATTGCTAATTCCCTCATCCACCAAATATTTATGGAACGTGTGAGCCCTACTGTATGCCAGTCACTATGCTAGGAACTAGGGCCAGAAGGCCAAGTTAGAAATGGTTCTTGCCTGAAAGGAGGGGTCAGGTGGATGGAGACAAATTCATGACCAGGCAATTACAGGGCATGGTGCTCTGGGGGCTGAGAAATCATGGCAGGGCAGCAATGTGATGGTCTTGCTTTGAGGGCTACTAAAGAGTGACATGTCCATGGAAAGTGTTTCTGGAACCCTTTTGAAGGTACTTTCTTTTTAAGCTGAAGACCTAAGTTAATAGACCACCACTTGATACACTCCCAGCTCCTATCATCAAATCAGAATGAAGGGGCTTGTTACTAAAGGAGCAACATAAACATGTCCATTGCCCTGTAGATTATCTACAGGACCCTCCAGGGAAACAAAGCCACCGTCCTTGAATCTCCACAGCATTTTGTTCTGCTCTGCCTTACATCTTTTAGCAGTTTGCATATCTGTCCTTGCTATTAGACTATAGCTATATCCTTTACATCTATTCCTTACAGGCAAGATTTTGGCTTTGGAATCATGCCGTCACTCAGGTGCCAGTACATGGTTTTGGAGACAGTAAACATTCTGGACATGCTTCTCTATACAGGTGACTTTCCTTCTCTTTTCGTTCTAGACCCTGTGTCCAAGATAGCAAGTAAGTGCTGAATCTGGATGTTTCTACCACTGTCTCAGACCCACATGCCATGGTCCTATTTCAGGGCCCCAGCCCCCCAGTTCCCCAACCCCCAGCTGTCCCTTCTGAATCACTGCATCGGCTGCCAACTGAAAAACCCCACGTCGCCACCACTTCTAGAACCTTGATCAACAGCTTCCCGGGCACAGAAGAAAATTCAGACTCCTCTGCCTTGCTCTCAAAACTCTGGGATAGATCCCAGTTCCCCTGTCCAAGTTCATTCCTCCTCTCTAGCTCTTCTGCTTGCCCCGTCCCTCTGCCTCTTACCCTCCAGTCATTCTGGATCACTTGTTGTTCCCCAAACTTGCTTTGATGTTCCCAAATCGCTTTGTTCACACTGAACTCTACCCTCAGCCAGCTTACTATGACTGTTCTTTGCGTGCTTACCAAGTGCCAAGTCCAGGTTTCAGTTATGTCACTAGAGGTTATATAAACTCAGAAGTTTGTTCTGGTGAGATAACACATCCCCATTAGCCCTAATACCCTTTATGAACTCTTACAATGTTCTTCGGTTAATCATTTTCCCTTTAGAACTGAGTGACCTTTACTAGTGTAATGCCTCACAATTTACCAAAGCAAAGAATCCAGTGTCAAAAAGAGAATAAGGAGGAGGTGAAGAGAACTCAGATCTCAAAAAATTATCCCCTCAAAATTCATGGTCATGACATAGCAGTTCTAGTGGAAATGATCACTGCATCTCAAGTTTATAGCACGCCAGTGTATGGCTTCGATACAGTAACTAGTGCTGTATTTCCTTTTGTCTGAGAGGATCTCCCTGGTGTTTGTTTTAGCAGTCAAGAAAAGTGGATTACACGCACAGTTGACCCTCCATATACTTGGGCTTCACATCTGCAGATTCAGTCAATAGCAGATTGAAAATATTTGGGGGGAAGATAAATGAAAAAAAAATACAAATAATACAAAGAAAAAACCAATACTGTAAAACAACTTTTTACATAGCATTTACATTTATTATGTAAAAGTAATCAAGAGATGATTACAGGTTTAAAGGAGGATATGGGTAGGTCATATACAAATACTGTGCCATTTTATAAAAGGAGCTTGAGCATCTAAATTTTGGTATGCGGAGGAGGGTTGTCCTAAACTAATCCCTTCAGAATACCAGGGACTACTGTACTAGACTAGCAGGTCTCTAAAGTATGAGCCAGGAAATCCTAGGGATCCCCAAGAATTTTTCAGGAGAATTTTGTAAAGTCAAAACTATTTCCATAATAATGCTACTTGATTTTTTCACTGTCATTCTCTCACACATGTACAGTGGGGTTTTCCAGAAGCTACATGGGTGATGTGTAATATCACAATAGATTGAATGCAGAAGCTGACATAAGAATCCAGCTTTCCATTGAGCCACGTTCTAAAGAGAGATGCAAAAAATGTAAATCGATGCCACTCTTCTCACTACATTTTGTCTCAAAAAAAGTTAAATAAAAACGAGGTTTGTTAGTGTGTCATGGGTTTATTCTTATTAAATTGCCCAATGAATATGTTTTTAATTCTGTTTTAATCTCTAATGCAGTACATATGATAGGTATAATCCACATGAACAAAAGCAAACGGGTACCCGGGCTGGAACGTTAGAGAACTGCAGTCCTAAACAACAGGATGTCTTCAGCCCCGGTCAGACTAAACTCACTCCCACCACCCCCTTCCCTCCTGTGGCTGAGGAAAAAGACTGATATAAAGCCGACTTTAAGAAAAACAGTTCTTCAGGCAGCTAAAGTCAAAGCCCTCTCTTTTCCCTGACTTCTTTTTCCTACCCTTTTTGGAGACCATGGCTTTGGGGGCCGAAGTGGGCGGGGCCTGGTCGTGGAGCATCACAGAGCCTCACAGAGAGCAGGGCCAGTCCCAGCAGCACTGCATCCTGGGAAGCGAGGCACTCATAGGCCTCGACCAATGAGATGTGGCTGCGTCACAAGGGGCGTCCCTCCAGGCGACCCAAGTTGCCAACCACTCGGGCTCGCGCTCGCTGCGCCAGTGCCCCGCGGGCCGTTCTGGGCGTCCAGCATGGTGGACTACTACGAGGTGCTGGGCGTGCCCCGGCAGGCCTCGACCGAGGCCATCAAGAGGGCTTACCGCAAACTGGCGCTCAAGTGGCACCCAGACAAAAACCCCGAGAACAAGGAGGAAGCAGAAAGGAGATTCAAGCAGGTGGCCGAGGCCTACGAGGTGTTGTCGGACGCCAAGAAACATGATGTGTACGACCGCTATGGCGAGGCGGGGGCGGAGGGTAGCTGCGCAGTCGGCAGGCCTTTCGAGGACCCCTTCGAGTACATCTTCAGCTTCCGCGACCCGGCCGAGGTCTTCAGGGAGTTCTTCGGTGGCCAGGACCCATTCTCCTTTGACCTCTTCGGAAACCCGCTGGAAAATATTTTTGGGAGTCGGAGGAACTCCCGGGGAAGCAGAAGCAGAGGGTCTGCACCCCTTTTCTCCACCTTCAGTGAATTTCCAGCTTTTGAGGGTGGATTTTCTTCTTTTGATACAGAATTTAGTTCCTTTGACTCCCTGGGAAGTGGGGGCCTTTCTTCCTTCTGCATGTCCTATGGTAGTGATGGGACAGGCAGCTTCAAGTCCATGTCGACTTCCACTGAAATAGTTGATGGCAAAAAAAACCACCACCAAGAGAATCATTGAGAATGGCCAAGAAAGGGTGGAAGTGGAGGAAGATGGAGAGTTGAGTTAAAGTCCTTCATAATAAATGGCATAGAGCAGTTGCTCCACATTGACACCGAGTAATCCCAGTCCACATTTGACTTAAAGCACATCTGGAGGAATAGTGGACTTTTTTTAGGATTGAAAGTGAACTTTGCTTTCAGAAAAACTGTACCCAAGAATTTATAAACATTTTATGCCAATGCCTGTCTTTACCGTTGGGACTACTACGGATAGGACCTCTGTTTGTCTTTCGATCACTGTAAACATCTGTATGCGCTTTGCTGTTTATTAAACTTAAGCCTGAGGCTGACAATGATTATTTCCTTGTGCTAGGACAGAATGTTCCGCTCAGCACTTTAAGCCTTAACTTTTTCTGTTGGGAAAGAGTTGAGCCAGGTGGTTTGCTCTAAATCATTTGACTTCAATGTTTTACTGTGTGGTGGTGAAATTATGAATATATTAATACTCTGGCTTAATTTAATGATGGCTCTTAATTGCACATAATGCTGGTGATGTAGGAAGAGTTGACCATTATTTAGATAAAAGGTTAAACCCAGGCTTTATAAAAGCAGGTAAACCTGATAAGGTGGATGCATTAGTTTCCTATCATGGCTGTAACAAATTACCCAAACTTGGTGGCTTAAAACAACACACGTTTTTTTCTGTTAATATTTTGGAGGTCAGACATTTGAATCCCGTATCACTGAGCTGAAATCAGTGTAAGAAGCATGTTCCCACTGAAGGCTAAGGACAGACCTTGGGGTTACATGGTTGGTCAATGGTGTACTAGGACTGACTTCAGCCCTAACGTGGTTCTCCAACTATGGTAGGTCCCAGAAATGTAAAAAAAGCATTTCCAGAAGGCCACACAGGACTATCCTATTGCTGTGCTTGGGACATACCAAATTAGGTTGATGAAAGCCAAATGTATCTGTAATATTGTTTGGGTGAGTCACTATATACACAACTGAGAGAGTACCTTTCTGTTGGCACGGGTTATGCCCCAAATGAAGACCTTTTGGGGCATGTTGTCTTGGGGTAGTCCATCACAAAGGGTCCCATCTTACAGGGTCAACTCTGAGGAAAGGTTTGCATAAGACATGAGAGCAAAAGGGCAACTGAACTAGGCAGGCTAAAAAAAATTAAGAGCAGCATGCTGGTAATTTTTTACAGAAAAATCATGGCCTGAACATATCATTAACCAACAAAGACTGTGATAATGGGTTTAGATATGCTCTAGAACCCTCAAAATTCAGTCTGCATGGAATGGTACCCAAGCAATAAACAGCAGGAACATGGCAGTTTGCTGGCACCATCCCACAGGGGCACACAGGGTCTCACACTGAACTCTGAAATCAACATGCTACAAGGTGCCTGGGTAGTTGCTTCTTATATAATAATTACACAAGAAGTATCAGAATAAGACAGCCTGTCAGGGCGTTTGAAAAATGAGTTCATATTTTAGAGAACCAGACAAGGGAACTTACATGTGTGAAGATACTCACTGAGTAGTTTGCTGGGAGTGGGTTTGCTTTTGGAGCAGTTCAGGGATGAAAAGAGTTTTGAGAGATAGTAGGAAGGCATGGAAACAGTTTCATGGTAGTTTTGTGTGTTGGAAATCACCACTCTGGGTAGGGTAGAATGAGTGGGATTGTATCTACACAATTGGTTACATAAATCCTATTGTTCGGGTCAGCAAAGAGTGGCATACCAGTGTCACTCAGAGGTAGTGGGTCCCTGTAACAACTCTGGCTAGTTTTAACAGTTGAAAGCAGACACAACGTTCAAATTTTGATATATCCTGGATTACCGATGTCATAAATGGGAAGTGTTCCTTTTACAGAAGTGTAAAGCTTGATTGATTATTGTTTGTTTGTTTTAGAGATGGGGTATTGCTCTGTGGCTGTTGCCTAAGCAAGATTATATCTCACTGTAACCACAAATTCCTGGGCTCAAGTGATCCTTCCTCCTCAGCATTCCCAGTAACTGAGACTACAGCTACCACGCCTAGCTAATTAAAAAAAATCTTCTTGTAGAGATGGGAATGATGTTTACCCACTCTGTTGTCCCAGCAAGAGCATTTTATTTAAAGAATTTTTAGAATTCAAAAATCTCCTTTTAAAATGTCTCATCTCAAAAACATAACTGCTAGAGGCCTGTATGTGTGTACTCATCTCTTATAAAAGGATTTCATAAATCAGGTTTTCAGAATGGAAAAAGGGGTATTTCCTCTGGTGCAAAGAACACCATCTTGAGACTCCTAAAATGAATTCCCTTCGTGGAACCACTTGTTCCTTCTCACCAAGCACAGTGGGCAAGGAAAGGCATGACCCTATGAGCCCCAAGAGACCTGGAGTCCTGTGACCAACTCAGTAGGGTCCAAAAAACCAAAATGCCAGGTATCTTTTCTGTCTAGAGCTCAACACAGCTGGTTTTAATTCAGCTTACATCACACACTGAAGAGCATCTGGAAGAGGGAATGATCCTTTCTGTCCATCATCTTCTTCCCCTCTGATTCCACTTTCTGTCTCCAAACAGGTAGAGAGACTTCCCCATCGTGGGAAATCATTCACATAACAGCTTACCTTTCTAGGAATTTCTAATTCCACTTTCTCATCAATGTTCTCAATAAATCTAGATTCATTTCCTTTTCTCACACTCTCCTTTAAACCCTTTCAGTATAACATCAATCACCACCAATCTTGTATTAGTCTGTTCTCACACTGCTATAAAGACATACTCAAGACTGGGTAATTTATAAAAGAAAGAGGTTTAAATGACTCACAGTTCCACATGGCTAGGGAGGCCTCAGGAAACTTACAATCATGACAGAAGGTGAGAGATAAGCAAAGGCATGTGTCACATGGCAGAAAGCAAGAGAGAAACAGAGATGAAGAGCTTGTGAATGAATGGGGAAGAGCCCCTTATAAAACCATCAGCTCTCATGAGAACTCACTCAGTAGGATGAGAACAGCATGGGGGAAATTGCACACATGATCCAATCAGCTCCCACCAGGTCCCACCCTTAACACATGGGGATTATGGAGATTACAGTTTGAGATGAGATTTGGGTGGAAACACAGAGTCAAACCATATCATTCTGCCCCCCTGGCCCCTCCCAAATCTCATGTCTTTTCACATTTCAAAACCAATCGTGCTATCCCAACAATCCTCCAAAGTCTTAACTTATTTCAGCACTAACTCAAAAGTCCATAGTCCTAAGTCTCATCTGAGACAAGGCAAGTCCCTTCCCCCTATGAGCCTGTAAAATCAAAAGTTAGTAACTTCCAAGACACAATTGGGGTACAGAAATTGGGTAAATATTCCCATTCCAAATGGGAGAAACTGGCCAAAAAAAGGAGGGGGGGCTACAGGCCCCATACAAGTCCAAAATCAGGCAGGGCAGTCATTAAATCTTAAAGCTCCAAAATGATCTCTTTTGACTTCATGTCTCACATCTAGGTCATGCTGATGCCAGAAGTGTGCTCTCACAGTCTCAGGCAACTTGGACACTGTGGCTTTGCAGGGTAAAGTCCCCCTCTATGCTGTCTTCAGAGACTGGCATTGAATGTCTGCGGCTTTTCCAGGCACATAGTGCAAGCTATTGGGTCTACTATTTGGGGTTCTGGAGGATGGTGGCCTTCTTCTCACAACTCCACTAGGCAGTGCCCCAGTGGAGACTCTGTGTGGGGGCTCCAACCTCACATTTCTTTACCACCCTGCCCTAGCAGAGGTTCTCCATAAGGGCTTCACTCATGCAGCAAACTTCTGCCTGGACTTCCAGGGGTTTCCATACTCCTCTGAAATTTATGTGGAGGTTCCCAAACCTAAATTCTTATCTTCTGTGTACCCACAGGCCCAACACAACATGGAAGCTGCCAAGACTTGAGGCTTGCACCCTCTGAAGCAATAGCCTGAGCTGTACCTTGGCCCCTTTTAGCCATGGCTAGAGTCACTGGGACACAAGGCACCAAGTCCTAAGGCTGCACATAGCACGGGGGGCCTAGACCCAGCCCACAAAACCATTTTTCCTTCCTAGGCCTCCAGTCCTGTGATGGGAGGGTCTGCTGCAAAGGTCTCTGATATGCTCTGAAGCCATTTTCCACATTGCCTTGGCGATTAATATTTGGCTCCTCCTTATTTGTGGAAATTTCTTTAGCCAGTATTTCTGCAGCTGGCTTGAATTTCTCCCCAGAAAATGGGTTTTTCTTTTATACCACATGGTCAGTCTGCAAATTTTCCAAACTTTTATGGTCTGCTTCCCTTTTAAACCTAAATTCCAATTTCAGATCATCTCTCTCAAGTTCATAGTTCCATAGATCTCTAGGGCAGGGGCAAAAATGCCACCAGTCTCTTTGCTAAAGCATAGTAAGAGTGACCTTTGCTCCAGTTCCCAACAAGTTCCTCATCTCCATCTGACACTCAGCCTGGACTTCATTGTCCACAACATTATCAACATTTTGGTCAAAACCATTCAACAAGCCTCTAGGAAGTTCCAAACTTTTCCACATCTTCCTTTCTTCTTCTGAGCTCTCCAAACTGTTCCAACCTCTGCCTGTTACCCAGTTCCAAAGTCACTTGCACATTTTCAAGTATCTTTATAGCAGTACCCCACTCTCCATGGCACCAATTTACTGTATTAGTCCATTCTCACACTGCTATAAAGACAAACCCAAGACTGGGTCATTTATAAAGGAAAGAGCTTTAATTGACTCACAGTTCCATGTTGCTGTGGGGGCCTCAGGAAACTTATAATCCTGGCAGAAGGTGAGAGAGATGCAAAGCCATGTCTTATATAGTGGCAAGCAAGAAAGAGAGAGGAAGAGCTTGCAAGTGAAGGGATAAGGGCTCCTTATAAAACCATCAGATCTCATAAGAACTCACTATGATGAGGGCAGCAGGTGGAAAACTGCCCCCATGATCCAATCATCTCCCACCAGGTCCCATCCTTGACCGGTGGGGATGATGAGGATTACAATTCAAGTTGAGATTTGGTGGGGACACAGAGCCAAACCATATTAAATCTAGTGTGACCTCATACTGGGAAAGAGTCAGTGGCCTCACTATTGCATACATTCACCTGTTCTTTACCATACTCAAAAATTAGCCTTGTTGATGTGGAATTCTCTAAGGGGCATAGCAAGAGTGATCTGTGCCACAGTTCCCAATTTGTTCTGCTCCACTGAGATAACAGTGAAGATTTGAGCAATGTAGTTAACACTGGAGAATATGTTCACATTGAAAAACTGGAAGAAAAGGGCAAGAGTCACTATTTAAATGCCATCCCATTTTTCAACATTTTTACAA